ACACAGACACACACACACAGACACACACACACAGACACACACACACACACACACACACAGACACACACACACAGACACACACACACAGACACACACACACAGACACACACACACACACACACACACCCCGGGGCCGCCAGGGGGCGCTGTAACACACACACCGGGGCCGCCAGGGGGCGCTGTCCCGCCCCGCCCCCGTGTCCCCCCGTGCCCCCGGCCCGGTCCCGCTCTCGGGACTGTCCGGGGTCCGTCCCGGGTCCGTCCCGGGTGTCCCCACCGCTCCCCGCGCTCGGCTCCGGGACACTGGCGCGGGATGGGCGCGGGGAGGCGGCAGGAGGAGGAGAAGGAGGAGGAGAAGGAGGAGGAGGTGGAGGAGGAGGAAGAGGAGGAGGAGGAGGCGGTGGCGGCGGCGGGGGGACCATGGCGGCGGCGGGAGGCGGCGGAGCGGCGGCGGCGCGACGAGGGCTGCTCAAGCGCAAACCCAACTTCACGCTGCAGGAGCTGGAGGTGCTGATGAGCGAAGTGCTCCGGTACGAGCCGCTGCTGTTCGGCGCCGCCGCCGGCACCGTGAACGCCTACGAGAAGCAGAAGATCTGGTGGCGGATCACGCACAAGGTGAACGCCGCCGGGCGCCACCAGCGCGACATCGGCGAGGTGAAGAACCGCTGGCGGGGGCTCCGCCGCCGCGCCGGGGACAAGATCAGCCGGCACCGGCTGGAGCGGCAGGGCCCGGCCGGCAGGGCCCCCGGCAGGAGCGGCAGCGGAGGGAGCAGCGGCAGTAACGGGAGTAACGGGAGCGGCCCGGCCGAGCCCGGCCCCGCGCCCGCGCTCCCGCCCGCCTGGGCAACGCGCGGGGCCGGCCCCGAACCCCCCGGGCGGAGAGAGGAGGGACCGGCACCACACGGTGGGTGCGACGGCACGGAGGGGACACGGGGGGACACGGGGAGACGGGATGGGGACGGGGCAGGGACCGGGACTGGGACCAGGACGGGGGAAACGGGGTGGGGACAGAGGGAACGGGATGGGAGCGAGGGGAATGGAAATGGGACGAGGACTGGGACTGGGAAAACGGAATGGGGATGGAAGGAAGGGGATGGGGATGAGAGGACGGGGAAGGGACACAGGGGAACAGGATGGGAATGAGGGGGAACAGGATGGGAATGAGGGGGAACAGGACGGGAATGAGGGGGAACAGGATAGGAATGAGGGGGAAAGGAATGGGAACGAGGGGAATGGAAACGGGACTGGGATGAGGATGGGGAAAATGGGATGGGAATGGAGGGAATGGGATCGTGATGAGATGATGGGGATGAGACACGGGGGAATGGGATGGGGATGGGGCAGGGACACAGGGGAACGGCACAGAGACACGGTGGAACAGGATGGGAATGAGGGGAATGGAAACGGGACTGGGACCAGGATGAGGACAGGGGAAACAGGATGGGAATGGAGAGAACAGGATGAGGACGAGACAGAGACATGGTGGAACGGGATGGGAATGAGGGGAATGGAAACGGGACTGGGACAAGGATGGGGGAAACGGGATGCGGACAGAGGGAAGGGGATGGGGATGTGGGGAAACAGGGCAGCGACATGGGGAAACGGAATGGGAATGAGGGGGAACGGAATAGGAATGAGGGGAAATGGAATGGGAATGAGGGGGAATGGAATGGGAACAAGGGGAATGGGATGGAGATGGGATGGGGATGGAGCAAGGACATGGGGGAACAGGATGGGAATGAGGGGAACGGAATGGGGATGAGGGGGAACGGAATGGGAACGAGGGGAATGGGACGGAGATGGGATGGGGCAGGGACATGGGGGAGTGGGATGGGGACAAGGCAAACAGGACTGGGACCAGGACGGGGGAAACAGGATGGGGATGGAGGGAGCAGGATGGGGACACAGAGGAACAGGATGGGATTGAGGGGAATGGAAATGGGACCAGGACGAGGACAGGAGAAATGGGATGGGGATGGAAGGAATGGGATGGGGGTGTGGGGGAATGGGGCAGGGACACGGTTGAATGGGATGGGAATGAGGGGGAACGGGATAGGAATAATGGGAATGGAAACAGGACTGGGATGAGGATGGTGGAAATGGGATGGGGATGGGGGGAATGGGATGGGGACGGGGAAATGGGGATGTGGGGGAACAGGGCAGGGATACAAAGGAATGGGATGGGGGCCAGGGGATGGGGCAGGGACATGGGGGGACTGGGGCTCGGATGAAGCAGTGAAGGGACAGGGACGTGGGGAACAAGGAGATGGACATGGGAAACCAGGAATGGGACTGGGATGTGGAGGAATGGGATGGGGATGAGGGGATGCTGGGTCCAGGATACAGGGGGACTAGGACCAGAATGTGGGGGACCAGGACAGGGACATGGGACACCAGGACAGGGGCACAGGGGCACTGGGACCAGGACAGGGGTGTGGAGAGACAGGGACATGGGGACCCAGGACAGGGACATGGGGACTTAGGACAGGGACATGGGGACTCAGGACAGGGATATGCAGGCCAAGGACAGGGATATGGGGACATGGGATAGGATGACATGGGTTGCAGGCCTGGGATGGGGTGGAACAGGACAGAGGGGAATGGGACCAGGATGTGGGGACCAGGGACAGAGATGTGAGGGACCAGGACACAGACACAGGGACACTGGGAGCAGGACAGGTGCGTGGAGGGACAGGAACACAGGGGAACTGAACTGAGACCTGAGGGAACCAGGACACAAAGCACCAGGACAGGGACAGGGGAACTGGGACAGGGACACGGGGAAATGGGGGGGGACACAGGGACAGGAGAGAGGGACAGGGACGTGGAGGACCAGGACAGGGTTGTGGGTGACAGAGACAGTAACAGGGGCACTGGGACCAGGACAGGAGGATACCAGGATCAGGACAGGGATGTAGGGGACCAGGGCACAGGGGAGCGGGACAGGGATAAGGGGAACTGGGGCAGGGATGTGGGGGACAAAGGACCAGGATGTATGAGGATCCTGAGACTGTGACAAGGACACTGGGACCAGGACGTGGGTGACCCAGGCATGGATCCAGGGGACCAAGGCAGGGACAGGGATGTGAGGGACATGGGAGCACCAGGACCAGGACAGGTGTGTGGAGGGACTGGGACAGGGACATAGGGGACAAGGACCAGGATGTGAGGGGACACAGGGACAGACACAGAGAAACAGGACAGGGACATGGAGGAATGGGACAGGGACACGGAACACTGGGACCGGGACTGAGATGTGGAGGGACCAGGACAGGGACAATGGGGCCATGACATGGGGAACCAGGACGTGGGTCCAAGGGACCAAGGCAGGGACATGGAGGGACTGGGACAGGGATGTGGGGGAACAGGGACCAGCACAGGGACAGGGGGGACAGGGACAGGGGGGCATCAGGGCAGGGACAGGTGTGTGGAGGGACAGGACACGGGGGCAGTGTCAGGTGCACTGGGACCAAGTCAGGGAGGCTCAGGGCAGGGACGTGGAGGATTTCGGGCAGGGGGGCCAGGATGGAGACACAGACCCAGGGGAACAGGGCAGGGACAT